TTTTTTTCTTCCCGTGGATGTTTGGCAGAATGGCCCTGACACATTTGAGATGGTATTCATTCTGCGTGGCGGTCCTGGCATAGCTTCAAGGGTGTATGGCTTGGTGCTGATGGAACCTGCAAAGGTAAGTGGACTAGGTGCATATTAGCGGTTTTGTGAGGGGCAAGCAGCGAAGAGGATGATGCCCCATGTAATATGATCTCTCCGGTTTCCCTCATCTGGGTGGGCAGTTTCTTACGGGATGAATTGGTTGATGGGCGAGCTAATAGGATGATTGCAATTTGTAACTGATGCAAGTGGATTGGTTGAAATCAATCAATCAATCAATCAATCAATCAATCAATCAAATCAATCAACCAAATCAATCAATAGATCAATCAATCAATAAACAAATGAAGGAATCAATCAATCAATCAATCAATCAATCAATCAATCAATCAATCAGTAATTTAAATCAATCAATCAATCAACGCAATCAATCAATCAATCAATCCAGCAAACCATCCATCCATTCATCTCCCCTATCAATCAATCAACCATGTGCGTTATTTTGCCTTGTGCAAAGAAAAGAAAAAAATCAGTCGGTCAAACAGTCAGTCTGACATATGTATTGACAGCTATGGAAGTTTGATTGATTTATCCATTGATGGACTGATTGATTGTGTTGATTGATTGGCTCATAAAGTGCATTGATTGATTGACTGATAAGGTGCACTGATTGATTAATTGATTGATTGTGTTATGTTGATTGATTGTGTTGTCTTGATTGATAAACTGTGTTGATTGATTGATTGGTCGATTGATTGATTCAGTGAGTGACTGAGGGAGGGACGGACAGAGGGAGGGACAGAGGGAGGGAGGGACAGAGGGAGGGAGGGACAGAGGGAGGGAGGGAGGGAGGGAGTGCCACAGATCGCCAGAATTTAATGTGAAAACCAGGAAAAAAAAAAAAAAAAAAAAAAAAAAAAAAAAAAAAAAAAAAGCAATTGCAGTTTTGTCTTTCCATCTTGTCTAATAATATACGTGTCAAATCTTCTACATTTGGTGAGCAGTGCAGTTGGCTTCAAGTTTTATCGAGATGCTTTGAGTGAGTGCCCGAATTGAACTTCTTAGTTGTGGCTTCAGGCTTCAAGTTGTATCGGGATGGTGTTTTGTGTGAGAATGATATAACTTAGCTTTCATTTTTTTTCGAGTGGAGAGAGGGAGAGAGGGTAGTAGGAAGTGGGGGGGGAAGGATATTCAACTGGCCAGGCTCAGCCACGGTTGAGATTCTTGAGAAGCAAGTGGGATGGCTCAAACCAACTTAGTGGGATTCCCTCGATGAGGAGTGTAAGAAGACGGACAAAGTCATTTGCAAAAATCGTCATTATTAGAAAAGGCAGCAACGGTCGGTTACACTCGGGTAATTATAGGTGTACAAAGATCGTTGCTGCATTTGAAAAAAACGCCGATTTGTTTTGTTTTTTTTTTCCCCTGCCCTCTTCTGATGAAGGCAACATCTTGAAATATTTTCTGTGCAGCACACTTCATTGTCTTTGTGGTATAAATATTTCCCCCCCTGCCCTCCTCTGATGTGGCTCAGTGGTTAGAGCACTGGTTGGAAATGAGGGTTGTGGTATAAGGTTGCGGGTTCAAATCCGCAGTCTTGTGCATGGACACTGGCAGGGCATTAGAACGACGCACGGCTTGGGATGACGCAGGTTATGCCTGCTATTACAGGCACTGCCTGCGCACCACCCAAGGGTTGTTCACGGTGTTGCATGTTGGTTTTGGGTTTCACATGGGTTGCTTGGGGGTGCTGGTCTTGGGTGTTCTGTTGATCTCCCCAGTCTGGCAAATCACACGTTTGGGCCATTTCCACGGGTCGTTCACATGGTACAGTCATTTGCTTATATGTTACGAGGTCAGGGGTTCGAGCTTGGTTCGGACCTTGGGGGGGTCCCTGTCCAGCTTACCCCGTTCTCTCTCTTCGATATACAGAGTATACATAGCCTTCGGACATAACATAGAACTATATATCGCCTATGGGCTATATATACACACATAGCCTTAGGCTTCGGACATAACATAGTCTAAGAACTATATATAGCCTACCGGCTGCATACACGCCTTCCGACATAACGTTGCACTGCACATCGCCTACCGGCTACATACACAAAGTTTCCACATATGATACACACATAGCCTTCGGACATAACATAGAACGATGTGCAGTGCAATGTGCAGTGCAATGTTACACGCATCGCCTATGGGCTACATACACAAGGCTGGGGGGGTCTAGTCGCTGGATAAGGGTCTAGTATCTGCAGTAGGTTCCGGTTGGTTGGATAGGGTGCCATTGGGTGCAGTTCCTACTGACATTCGGATGGAACTGTCTGGTGGCCATATATTGGGACCTGTGGTTGATTTGTCTGGGCCTGGCGTCCAAAGTTCCCGTTCGTCCGCTTCCGCTTCCACCCCCCCTGGCGACAGAACAGCAGTGATAGGCACCAGGGCTGGGCAGCTTATCAGCCCTGGTGCCTATCACTGCTGTTCGGTCCAAGTTGCCTGCCCGTTGGTAGGACAATGGTCCTGAGTGCTGGTCAAACTGAGGCAGGATAGTGGGATACCGGGTGCGCTAGGAGTATTGACGTGAGGATGGGATGGGAGGTGGTCTCATATTCCTGGACACCCATGGCTCACAGCTCCAAGTGATCACTGTGCACTCAGTGACTGGCCTCTACAACACCTTGGACTTTATTAAAAAAAAAAAAAAAAATCATGACCATGTTCCACCCCCCTTGTCTAATAAAAGAAAGAAAGTTCTCGACAGAGTCACCACTCTCTTCTCTTGTGCAGTGTGAGGTCAACTGCAGACAAAAGATATAGGACTGACAAATTACATACCCAAAAAAAAAAAAAAAAAAAAAAAAAAAAAAAAAAAGAAGAAGAAGAAGAAGAAGAAGAAGAAGAAAAAGAAAAAGAAGAAGAAAGAGATGAGACTGACAAATTGAGCAATTATGATGTCGTACCCTGCAGGTTGCAAGTGCCTTGAAGGACCGGTCGCAATGGCTTAGGGAATGCCGGAAGTCTGAAGTCCTCGGGGAATTTAGGACAGACCAAGGAACGGTTGAGGTCGTTTATACACAGGTAGGTTGGTGTCAAATCGCATCAAAGATATTCTACGTGCATATTGCCTTGAAACATGCAAGCACACGTTTGCCACAAAACCAACCTCCGTAGTGATGGCTGGGAAGATACTGAAAGCCGGATGACGGTGCGGTTCTTGAAAAGATAGGCAGCACAGCGAATGGGAGAACAATGGCGCGTACAGACTGATTGTTGGGGGGGAGCCTGGGGAGGGGGAGGGGGGGGAAGAAAATGGGACCATCTGACGCAGTTTCCAGCCCATTGGTTAAGGCCCTAAACACTGAAGTAGGCATTAATTTCGTGTGGGAGGGACATAATCGACATTGCCAAGTTTCTGTGCACTTTGTCTCTCTGGAACCAACGAGCTTATGCACAGAAGGACGGACCTGGAGGGTCATAAGACTCGTAACAAATGGTGTGGGAGGGACAGCTTGCAGTTTTCAGCCAATAGGCTGATAAGCCCCCAAGCGCTGAAAGACTGTGAAAGTGTAACAGCATGGGGAATCTGGGGATCAACATGCAGGCAAACACTTGTGAGGTGCGCAATCCACAGATTCCACACGCATGCACTCACACACACACACACACACACACACACAGAGAGAGAGAGAGAGAGAGAGAGAGAGAGAGAGAGAGAGAG